ATATGATGTGATAATTGTCTGTATATTATTTATTTTTGTATTAAACACTGTTAAGTTAATTATATTATCATATTAATATTATTTGCCAAGTATGAGCATTTGTTTCATAGTAGAATCATTATTTATTTAACATTGAAGTTCAATTGCACATTGTGTTGACTTCTGTTATTTAGTTCTGATCAACATAGTTTTGCTTTGTACTGAATGATTTACCTTTATGATCCATTATGTCTGTCTGTAACTTCTATTGCTTAGTCAGTACTTAGTCTGTGAATTTTGTTATTCTATTTTTTGTAGCATCTGTAACATTATACTTTCTGTTCTGTTGTTTATATTTAGTTATTAATTGTTTGTGCATATTATCCATTTTCTCCCCTTCAATTCAAGAAGGTATTTCTTCAAAGAATTGGATATTTCTTTAATTGTTTATTAATCATTGTTATAATATAATATTTATATATAATAATTGTAATTGCTTTCATGGTTCGATTTCTAATTATTAGTATTTTAAAGCAGTGTGTAATGTTTGTTATGTTCTATAATAAGTAATTTAAATGTTATTACTATTATATCTTTGTTGCCATTAACGTTTGTCAACTTATATAATGTGTATTTTGTTTGTTATAGTAGATAAGTACACATTATGTATAATATACGAGTTTTGTTTGCACTCGTTATCTTTTATTAATAATTGTTTGTAATTATGAATGAATATTTTGTTTTTTTGTGTTGAAAACATATGGTAATTTGTTTGTTTCCATATAATATTCATTTAATAATGTTGTAATTATTATTTATGTAGTGCTTTTAGTAAATGTACTGAGTTCTATTAAGTATGCTCACATCCATTATTACCTATTTTATATTATACTGTCTGAGATAATGACTTTAACATTTTATTAATTTATTTAATCATATTATATTATGATTGTTTTTGATTGTAATTATTATAATAATGCATTTGTAATAATAATATTTGTATTATTTGTTGTAATAGCCTTATCAGCTTAATACTTTGCTCCTACAAGCTATGTTGTCACAGTGTAAATTTAATAATCGTTTGTTAAGGTATATATGCTGTACAGTTAATGTTACTGTTGCAACTTTGAAATTTATTATATAATCAACTACTGTGAAAAGACGTTCTGTGTAATTAAGTTGTATTAATGCATTGTTTCAAGTATATTAGAGATATAATTCTTTCGTTTGTTGTTAGTATACATTTACACAATTGTATTAATGTGTAAAGTAGTATTATTTGTTTAATAGTTATAA